TGATTATAGACCTGCTTGCTCACCCGACCTTAAGCAAGAGCAATTGTGAGATATGCTTAAAAGAAGAATTAGAGCTTACCGGGAGAATCCACAATACAGTGACAACTAAAAAAAAAACAAATAAATAAAAACAAAATTAAATATTAGCCGTTTCGCATTGAAATTTTTTTTATGTTATTGAATGGTTTCAATTTATTATTGCAAGAGTTTAACGTTTTCTTTAATTTTTATGTATTGTTGATTAAATTGCTTTAAAATAAATATTCTTTGACTTAGTATGTTGGTTTCGCTTCGCTTGAAATAATAAGAAATACCAGATGATTCCATATAACTTTGGTGTGTGTATGTATTTATGTAACTAATAATTAATGTATCCAAAACAGGATACAGAATATTTGACTGTAAATAAGATTCAACGACAAGCAAAATGTCTGAAAATTAAAGGTGCCCATATAGAGAAAGTAGATCAATTATTGATCTATCTGTCCTAGGCTCACTGATGAACTTAGATAAAGATAATTACTCTAAAATAAAAGAAAACTATTAGAACTATTAGCATCCAACAAATACTATCGTGGTATTACCAAGGTCAAAATGTGTCGATAAACATGCAAAACTTAAAAGTATATAAAATTGATAAAAGGTAAAATGGTATTGATATAAAGGCTTTAACAAAAGTGGATGCGACAGCCAGTAGGAAGCCAAAAGAACGAAGAAGAGGAGATAAGGTTGCTCATAAAGCAGTAAAGATAAAGAAAAGTATGATTGAATTTATTGGAAACCTAAAAGGCTGCGAAAGTCACTATAACAGATCAAAATCAAAGAGGATCTATTTATCTGCCAAACTAAATTATCAAAATTATATAAACTATATAACTCACAATGTACAGATAATAACCATATCTCCAGTTTGGCGATGTTTGCCAATATTTTAGAACAAAATTCAATATCGTATTTTATTCCCCTGCATCAGTACAGAATTCATAATAAAAGAGGCAAGGCTTTTTATGAGTCAGCAAGAAAAGTGCCACCGGATTCAATCACCTTTTGCTTTGATATGCAGCAAGTGCTCCACGCACACCTATTAATGATGCTTTCTATGCTCAACAAGTGAATTTTTATGTTTTATGTTGTGTCGACATGGACGCTAAAAGTCCCGTATTCTACACATGGATAGAAGATATGGCTGGACGAGGATCGATGGAATTATCATCTGCGTTACTTTGTAATCTGGATTCATTAAATCTTGAAAATAAACAAAAAGATCGTTTATTTTGTGACGGATGTGGAGGCCAAAATAATTCTTTTTGTGTTTAGTATTTAAACATTGTCTTTTTTTCAATTTAGAAAGTAGAAAACAAATCCAGTTTTTTCTACTTTGGTTTAGAAGAATTGGCACTGTTAAATATGAAAAATATTGATTATTTATGTTTTGCTCTTGATATATAGGCTTCGGATCTTAGATTAACGAAACTGGTTTCTTTAATCTAAGCTTCGGACAATATACTCCAGACGCCAGAGACGGAAATACCTCTGAACCTCTAAAAATCATACGAACAAGCTAAATTTTGCTGAGAATAGTAAAAAATGGCGAAAACCGCGCAACGTCTATTTCTTAACAGCTTTATAGAAACTGACTTCATCTGCGACACAATTCAAAGACTGCATACAACAGCTGCACTCGTTACCTTTAAAACGCATTCTGATTTTTGTCGATAGGATGCTGTGATCAAAAGAGATCGAATTTTTACCGACCTACATATTCTTTTTTAATTGATTTTTCCGGTATTCCTTCACTACGAGTGAAGGGGGTCTTAGTTTGAAGTCAGGAGTGGGAGTGTTTTTTGCATCTTTTTTGGGGTCGCAAAATTGACATTCTCAGCAACATTCAGCTTGTTCCTACGATTTTTAAAGGTTCAGTGGCATTTCTCTGTATTACCAATCTTAGCATCTCATATCGTTGTCCTCTTATTACATGTCTCAGATTTTGTAACGTTTATAAAGTCGTCCTGTGGTTTGCTACCGTTTTTTCCTTAAATTTAGTGTAGGTGTATTTTATTTCCGTTAAAGATTGAAACGTATTTGCAATACATGGTACACATTAGTAGACATTTTTGTTTCCGAAACATGTCCACCAGTTGTATACATACATGCATACAGACCAATCGCCGCCCACGAGTCTGTTGAGAGACCACAAATCGGAAGTCTATGGTCTCCAGATCGGAATGAGTGATAAAGTGCAACGGTGGATCGGTGGATACGTTACGCAATCTTTCGCCAGTGTGGATGTCTACTCAATGACGAAATACACCTGTCTCCAGATAACCAGTGTGTGCTTCGGCCAAAAGTTTTAAGATTGTTTTCAAATGTGGTCAAATGAAAAATTATTAAATTTAATGAAAAGACTATTGTGCGGTTCGTTTTCTTTGAGATTTCGTTAGTTTCTATTATAAAAAAACTAATCAAAAAGTAGCATTAGTGTGTTCCTGGCTTTAATACTTTTTAATTCGCCGAAAAGTGCTTTACTTTTTTGGAGCAGTAGATGCATTGATTTCTTTTGAAAGAGTTCGGTAAATTTTATTTGAATGTTTAGCATATTTTACTGCATTCTTAGCGTAAGTATCGCCTGTTAAAAAAATATATATTTTTGCATATTCTTGAAATTTAATCAGGAATTGGTCGTAATAAAATAAGATATATTTTAATAATAATTTTTAAAATTTAGGAGGCTTATAAAAATCTAGTTCATTTTATTTTTCGTTCTTTTCTCCCGTTTTTATTTTCGTAGTTTTGTGCCCTTTATATTTCTCTTTTTAGGTTTTTTTTATATTTTTATCCTGTTTTGTTTTCGATTATGTTGGCTTATTGTCATTTTTTTTTTCTATATAGGATGAGTTGTAACTATAGCACATTTGAAAATGATTGATAGTATAAATTTTATATCAAAGATCTAAATACAGTGTTGGTCAATAAGGAAAAAACGTAATAATTGATACCTTCTTATCTAAATTTTCACTCGACTTTAATATGACCACCTCGACAAACCTCATATACAATACATCATAAAATGCAAATGAGCAAAGTCTAAGGGAGTAATAACTGAACGCCTCAATGGAGAACATAAAATTACTTTAATATAAAAAACTAAAATGTCAATATGTAATTGATGGATTCGACCGATACTTGATGGAAATTAATTTTATGTAACAATAAAACACTGAAAACTTTGTTTTCAAACTTTTACAAAATTTATTTTAAATTCTTATCACTACAGCTGTTTCGGCTGATTGCATGTCTTAAGTGATCTATTTTTGGCATGAGTTTACACTTTATAGTCTTTTTGAAATAGTTTGAGGAGGGGAGAACTGTTTGTCTCAAGTTGGTCATTCAGAATTATATCTGTGTTTTTTAATTTGTTGATTTCCATAGATTTTAACAAAGATAGCTTAAGGGCCTTTATTTTGAATGTGAAGAATTTTAAATTCGTCCTCAAAAGAATGATTATGATCTAGAAGGTGAAGTGCGTATGTAGAATCTGTTTTTATATTATTGAAAGCCCTTTTATGTTCTGCTATTCGTTTATTAAAATTTCTACCCGTTTGACCGATGTAAGTTTTTGGGCAATCGCATTTAAGTTTGTACACACTACTGTGTAAGTGTTTTTTTATTTTGGCTCTTGTTGTTTTTAATATATTTGCTTAATTTGTTGTTTGTTCTGAAAGCTGGTGTTATTCCTTTCTTTTTTATGTGTTTTGCTATTTTTGTTGATATTTTGCCTGTATATGTAATCGAGCAGAAGGTACTGGGTTTTCTCTCTGGTGGTGGAAATACTAATTTCAGAGCTTTCTTGTGTAGTTTTTGATTTAACATTTTATTGTTTGTTCGTTTTATCCATTGTTTACTGCTATTTGCTTAATGATATTTAATTCTGTCTTAAAGTTGTATTTTGACATCGGAATTTCTGTTAATCTATGTAACATACTATAATAGGCTGCCAGTTTATGTTGTGTGGGATGGGATGATAAATTGTGTATAGTCGTGTCAGTATGGTTAGGTTTATGGAATATGGAGAAGTCATGTTTGTTTTTAAGTCTGATAATTTTTAAATCTAAAAAATTTATGGATTTATTTTGTTCCGTTTCTATTGCTAATTAAATATGACTATGAAGTGAATTAATATACGATACAAATTGGTCGAGTTGCCTGTTAGTTATTGTGAAACATACCAGTACGTCGTTTACATATCTCCACCAATATGGGGTTTCAGTATGGAGAAACATGTCCTAATGATTTCTTTACGTTTCCAAGATTCAAAAACCAGTTGCATCGTTAACAATTTTCCACATTAGAGAAAGCCGTAGAAGAATTTAAAATGAGATTTTGCTTATATTCTGACTGGAAAAATGTTGACATTTACTCGCGCACAGAATATACAGAGTCTATCAGTTAATCTCAATATTTTGTTTTCTTTCATCCCGAAATGAAAGCAACAACCCTTGTATCGATATAATGATTTCTGCATTCATTATCTCTGTTGATGTTCATTTACGATATATCTTTTGATAAGATTAGATTTAAGATATCTCTTTTGATATATCTTCAACTAAGTCAGTTAAAGTGTCCGTTCTGTTGTTGTTTGTTCCAAAACCTTCTTGAATTTAATTTTTAATGCTTTATACATTTCTAGTTTAGCGTAAAAAGGTAACTTAAGGATTTGTTTCTTAAAGGTTATATCGTTGTATATCCCCGCCCTATTTATTTGGTTCATGATATATTTGCTATGTATTATATCTAATGTATACATTGTTTTTACTAGTAGGTGACGCCAAGTTATGCTTTGAAAAAAGTGAGGACAAGCACATTTTGTATATAAATAATGTAGAACGATCAATTCTATGACTTATTTTTCGTTTTTTTTTTATGAGAACTAAAAATATTCTGAAAAGAACTGTTTCGAACTGAAATTTTGTTGTTTAATAATAATGTATTTTTTGTTGCAGAACATGGTATCAAAACGTATTTAGTCCAACAAGCATCCGAAACCGCTTTTTCCGAAAGCAAAAACGAGCAGACCATTGACAGTGTAATGGCAACATCTTTTTCTAATATGAATATTACGAATCCTATCAAAGGACTTGTTAGTAAAAGAAGAAATCGATATAAGAAAGATGGTTTCAATCTGGATCTGACCTGTATCCTTTTTTTTAAACAAGTTTCATTATTTAAAACATTATTGCGACATGTTGTGTTATACACTACTGCCCAAAATTAACGCACCACCTTAAATATACCCTAAGTTTGAGCTATTTTTCTTCCGAATAGATGATTAGATTTTGATGATTTTTTTCTTACATTATAAGTCTATTTCTAATAAATCACTTTATTAATGTTTTCTGAGAACTATCAATGTTTTACTCATATACGGGGTGTAAAAATAAAGTTGTTTATTCATCGTATTTTGAAACACCCTGTGGAATTTATTAGAAAGAAATGCTACATATTATTAATATGTTGAGATAGTTTTATCCTTTGTATATTTGGCCTTGATCAATTGCATCCCAAACTTCTTCCACCATAACTTCTATTTTTTACTTTCTTTTTGCTGGCTCCTCAATTGGCAATCAATAATATCCCACAAATTCTCTATGGAATTTAGATTAGGGCTGCAGGGTGGCCAGTTCATGGTTTGTATTCCAACCTCGTTCAAATAATCACGGACCAAACTTGCAACATGTGGTCGAGCGTTATAATACATTAAAAAAATATTTCCTATGAAAATGGAACTACATGGTTAGACAAAATATCTGTAATATACCTTTTACTTGTTAAGTAACCTCTTCGTAAAGCCAAGGTCCGTTCGTGCTGTAAGAGATATTGCTCCCCAAACCATTACAGATCCTCTATTGAATAAAGTAATCGGTCGTATGTTGCACTGTACGTAGCGTTGTCTTGGCCATCGAATAATTTTCACACGTCTATCTGAGCTATCTAAGCAATGCCTCGATTCATGAGTGAAGAAAACGTGCTCCAGTCATCAACATTCCAGTCAAGGTGCTTTTTGACAAATTATAATCTACGTCTAATATGATTTACGTTTAAAGCTGGTGCTCTGACTTATATCCTTACATGTAGATCTTGTTCAGCGAGGCTCCTTTGTATAGTGCTTCTGCTAATTTAAATATTATGAACATCTGCTACTTTTAATTGCAAATGTTTCATTGTGACAAAACGTTCTCTTATAGCGCAAAACATGATAAACTGATCTTGCGTGGTGTTGTGAGTCTTCCTCTTCCTTGTCCACGTCGCCTCGTATGGTCGTTTGTATCTCGAAAACGTTAAATGGCTCGTGATATTGTAGTATGAGAGACTCTTAACCTCTTAAGTCTATTTCACAATAACTTTACTATATACTTTACTATTACAATTCAATAAAATCACGTTACGATTTAAACGTACTTTTCTTTTTTAACCCATTAGCGCCCTCGGTATCTTATTTTAAGAATTAATATATTTTGCATTAAATATTGATTAGTAATATGATTTGTAACAAAACTTCAAATGTAACTATATTTGAAAGAAACAGAATTACTTAGATATAGATATGTACCCAAATGAGTACACTGGGCACTACAGCAACTTAATAGATAATGTACTTAACAAAAAATGAATTGAAATGAAAAGTTTTGAAACAGTCTCTCTCTCTCTCTCTCAATACAAAGGGTTATATTACACTTTTCACAACTCCATCTGGCTCTTTGATGACACTGAGCACACCTTAAATTGTTTAATAAGTTTTTTTTGGAAAGTGGCCTGAGTTCTCTAACAGTAGGTACATTGATTTAGCATTAAAACCTAAATAATGTCGTACATGTACTCTTTGAAAATTAAAAAGACTAGTTTGTTGACCTTTAGCCAGCTGATACAATCTCCAACTATTTACAACAGTCATGTTTATAAGATTAGTAAAAAGCACCCACCACAATTTTTCCCCTCTTATTTCGATGCGGTAACTGTTTAGTTGCTGATCATGTAAGTCGACACTTCCCATGGACTTATTATAATTTTTATATAAAGCAGGTTGAGAAATATCCACTTTGGCCTTAGCAGTGGTTGACCATCGTTTTACTTGTGCTACAGGTTCCATAGTGTCGTAATCTGTAGCCATAGTCACTATCTTATTATCTTTAAAGCTAACAAATAATATACCTTGAGCCTTGTCATATTGATGTTCAAAATAACCTCTGTCTTGGTTTTTTAATCGTTTGGCATTTGATAGGGGACTTTTTTTTGTTCTATTGTCTCTTACAGTTCCAGTAGCTCTAATTTCTATTTTTTAAAATTTTTCCAACAGATCGTAACTTGTAAAAAAGTTATCAAAAAATAATGTATGGTCAGATGGACAAGCGATGTGGTCTACCATATCCAGAACTACTTGAAATCCCAATGGTAAGCTATTTTTCTTATCAATATTTTTGGCTCCACAATAAGTATCTACGACATAACAATAACCGTTGGCACTACATAAACAACCAATTTCTGTAGCCGAATTTAATTAAAAGGTTTACTTTTTATAAATTGTTTACTGGTATGTTTCCCAAAAAATTTAACCATAGATTCATCAACACATAAATGTTCATGAAAAATACCCCACTGTCTGTAATTCTGATTGAGCTTTGTTAGCAGAGGTCGAACTTTGCCATTTTATCATGTGCTGGTAATGCTGTTTGGTCGGCAAGATGAATGTAACGCTTTATATCTAGAAATCTATTTATAGACATGGATGCACAAACAAACGGCACATTTAAATATTCGGAAAGACTCCATTACATTCTTTCACTGGATAGTTGGTGATATCCTGTTAGTAATAATACACCGAAAATTGTTTGTATATCTGCCTTGGACACAAAGAAACTATGGTTGTTGCATTGAGAAGAATATAAATTAGTTTGTGTAACTATGTTATCAAATATGTCGTCAGTGAATAATTTTTCAAATATCTCAACTTCATTTAAGTCTTGTAATTTATTTTTAACGATTTCAAACCGCTCATTCCACCCTGATGTTCCTACCACACTATTATTTGTACAAGTTTTTGTCCATTGATGGCCTAAACTCTTTTGTTCTCTTACTCTTTTTAACCGCAGTGCCAAAGGTACATCATCTAAGTCTTCGTCTTCATCTGAAGAGCAATGCACTTCAATTTATCCTACAACATATTTAGGTAGTGTCAAATTTCCTTCTATAAGGTTATCATCCTCAATGTCTTCCTCATCAGTAAGCATATCTGGGTCTGGAGGAATAATAACCATATCCACTTCAGACCGCGAATTAGAATCACGAATATCTTCTAAAGCAGAAGGTAAACCTTCGTACCTCTTTCTATAAAAATTTCGAACACTACTACTCTCAAAATCGTCTACAGATGCCATATCTGTAACAAAATTGCAAAATATCAAACATACTTCCATACGCCCATTGTACTCATATGAGTACACCTTAATTTAACAACAAATAAATCACGTTATAATTAAAATAATGAATAATTAATCACTTTACTAAACTTATTATAAACTAAAGCATATTCCACTATTTGGAAGAATGATTTCATCGTATGAAGGCGGAGAAATGGGGAAAGACGTATGAAAATCCAGTGGCGCACACTCACTTTTATTTAGAAGATATGTCATAATATATGTATTTACAGGTTTTTAGTGACGTTTCGATCTCTGTATTCAAAGACCGTTTTCGAAGATATAAATCATGGTTATATTTAGTTTATTTGTTTATTATTATTATGTATTTATATAATGTTACATTATTTATTTTCTATATTTTTTTCTAACTTTACTCTTACTAAAAAACAAGTCAATTTACAGAAAGCTTATTAATGCTACTCAGCTGTCGCGGAAATTATGCTAAAACGTCTATTGTCGTGACCCGTCCTTAAAGAGTTAAACAATTAATTTTTTTACAAATTTTAAGACAATTTCCACACCACCCGAGAGGTATGTCTTTTGGTGCGTTAGTTTTTTTAAATGCCGTCCCTTTTCTGATAAAGCTTTTAGTCCTGTAGACCAGCCTTCAATAAATGCTTCGCGTTTACTTTTAACATTTAAACTTTTCCAACTGTATGACCTTCGTTAATCCAGATTTCATCCAAATTATATATTTTCCTTCTAGTGCTTCGAATTTTGCTTATTTCTTCTCCACACAATAATTTCATTTTTTCCAATAACATACTTCTTCTTTTGCGTTGTACATATCGACAGTTCATTTCGCGCATAGTCTTGATTAATACTCTACGAGATATCTTGGGTAAGAAGTCATCGTTTTCGAGCTCTTGAGAAAGAAACCCTGGTTTCATTAATCCAAAGTATTTATATAATGATCGCTACTTCGAAGAACTCAGGTTTGTATGGCGATTTGTTACCTGTGAACAAGAATCGGCTACACTGTATGGCAGCTCTTGGCCAAGTCTGCTATAGAGAAGCACAAATAAATGTACTAATTATACATTATGTGATTTCTTATGAGAAAACGCAAATAGAATAGGTAGTTTTCGAGGGCCGCTGTGTACATCTAAATTTGAGGATATTCGGCGTTTAAACGGATGAAATCACTCTTCCAAATAGTGGACTTTTACTTTAAACCATTTGGTCGTAAAAAGAAGTAAATGAAAGAAACTTACTGTAACTTTACAACGTCGATGTCGAGAAAATAAACAACTCACGTGTTAACGTCATAAACAATAAATCAAAACTAACAAACCAAGCTGAATCATTCAACGAAATCTGTTAAAGTTGTCGTCTTAGGTGTATTTAGTTTCCTGTAATTACTAATAATGCAACTATTTTATTGTAGATGGCACGATGTCAAAATATCAGCTGTACTTAAACGAGTACAGTGGGCGCTAATGGGTTAATAATAAATCTATCTCGAAATGTTAAGCGTTTGCTTTTAATAAATTCCACAGGGTGTTGCAAAATAAAATGAATAACAAATTTATTTTTACACCCCGTATATGGGTAAAACGTTGACATTTCCCAGAAAATATTAATGCAGTAATTACTAGAGATACATATGCATTGAGAAAAAAATTCTAAATCCAATTAACGATTCAAAAGAAAAATAGCTTAAAAATTATGGTACAGTGTGGGTACAGTTAAGGTGGTGCGTTAATTTTTGAGAGTAC